ATTTAGAGATTCAACTGTCGAATGTTCGATTAACGTACTTTACGACGTACGTTAAACGAAAGGAGGTTAATCTGACCTTTAATATAATCAATTTATATATGTTGTTCGCACGAACGTACACGTTACTGTCGAAATCTATCGCCATGTGATGCACATTTGTTTACATAATCAATAAATGATAATAATTTGTTGGTCAAATTTAAATAAATTGAGATTTTTATGAAATAACAATTTTGACGATAATTTCTTATTTACAATTAAAATTTCAAACTATTTTACGTACTTTTGCTGTTGATTTTTAATTATATTTTAATTTTATGTAATTTGTATTTCGAAATACATAACACCTTGACAAAATTTCGATTATAATTTATTTTGTCCTCCGAGAAAAATATTATCACTTATAAATTTGTATATTCATAATATTTTTTCTTTATTCTTGTCAATGTTTTTTACATGTCAAAATTGATTAATTATCCTGCTGTATTCACAACTGGGATAAACAATAATTATAATGAAATATTCTAAGCAATCTAAGCTTTTTGATGCGGATAAGTAAAATAAGTTCCATTATCAAATAAGTGGCTTAGATTTAGTGATTTAATTATTGAATGTTTAATTAACGTACTTAATGTCATATGTTAAACGAAATCATTTTCTATTTGTTGTTTGCACGAACGTACATGATATGTACACTTTGCTGTCAAGAAATAATAATAATATTTTTTTGGTCAAATGTAGGTAAAATTAATATATTTATTTTAATATTTACATGAAATAATAATTTTAACGATAATTTCTTCTTTACTATTAATATTTAAAACTATTTTACGTACTTCTGTTGTTGATTTTTAATTATATTTCAATTGTACCTTGACAAAATTTCGATTATCATTTAATTTGTCCTCCGAGAAAAATATTATCACTTATAAATTTGGATATTCATAATATTTTTTCTTTATTCTTGTCAATGTTTTTTACATGTCGAAATTGATTAATTATCCTGTTGTATTCACAACTGGGATAAACAATAATTATTATAGAATAATCTAAGCAATTTAGAGATTCAATAATTAAATACATTGTTGAAGTACATAACTTATAAATAAATTTTTATATGTTAAGCGAATGTATTTTATTTATATTGTCACACTTCTACATTCACATTCGATTTTTGAGCCCATTGCTGTCACCTAGTTCTCTCAAAGTTCATACATACGAACACTGTTATTGAAATTATCCAAATTTCTATAAAATCGATACATACTTTTATCTTGAATTACATAAATCACAGTAGCAAATAACTTTTTTTTGTCTTCCGAGGAAACTTTTAATTCATTCATAAAATTACCAGTTAACGTGCATAATCATTACATACATTTCCATAATTCAATATTTAGCATTCATTATTAATTTGTTACACACGTGTATCTTTGTTCGCACAAACGTACTTTATGTTTATACGTATATACATTTTACGTCCGAAAACCATTTGTATTTATTTGCGTACATAACTTTTATATAAATTTTCGTACGTTAAGCGAATACACTAATTTAAATACACATTTATTTGTATCTGGGAACATATTTAATTTCAATCTCAGAGTAATATTATTTATTTCTTCCTTAAAAGAGTTATCGATAAAAATAAAACTGTATTGATTTAATATGACTTTACTAGGAATCAAGTAGTAATCAAGTACGTTCGCACGAATATTTGTACGTTATTATGTACGTAATATTGAACATGCTAGTAAAAGCTAGAAATGATTTTGAAATAAGCTACATTGTAATTTGTGATATGTTAAGCTAAGATTAGAGACGAATATTTGTGAAAATAACTTTACTCATAAAAGTATAATCACTGATATAAGCTTGAGAATGTATTCCATTGCATAGTAATAATGACGTCGAAACTGGATAAACAAAAGATTATATTATGTTGAAACGATATTTTTCTTTGTTCCTCTTTCTCTCTCTTTCTGTTTTCATCACTATGTTTGTAACTAAGTAAGTGTAAGTGTAAATAGTTTAAGCAAGTGAATGTGTGTAGGCCAATAAATCCGTTGATTGCATCGATTGGCGTCAATCAGGAGCCAATTATGATCAATCTGAAACCGTAAATTTTCCTAGATAGTCACTCGTCGTTTGCACTTTATTCGGAGCGAATCGAATCACATTTTCTTGTATAAATTTTCAATTTCCTTTTTTTCCATTGACGAAACTTGCGTGCAATTATCATTTATTATCACTTGCAACATTTACATTTTCATAATTAAAAATGTAAAATCAACAATTCTTACGTCAATTTAGTAATTAAGAAAGTAAAATTCAAAATAAAATTCTTTAATTTATAACACATTTTCTAGTTGTGTTTTGAATAAACTTGATGAAACGTGTGCAATTTCCAAGTTAGTAATGATAATAACATTAATATTTATTCACGATAAAATTTTGACGTAATTTACGTTTTAATCGTGCAATTATCACTTGCCAATTCGAATATTCATCAATTTGAATACGAAATTATTAATTATTACATCGTAATAATAAAAAAAATCAATTTTTATTGATTTTCTGAGAAAATATTTATTTAAATCATCTCTTGTTAATTGAAATATTCAGTAAATTTGAATATTAACTTATTATTACAACATTGCCGCAAAAAAAATGTCAATTGTTTCGTGCATAATTTGGAATGCTGAATTACTAATTGTTATGAAATTATCAGTTTGAAATGCATAAATTACAGTAGCCTTATAAAATAACAATTTTTGATTTTGCATTTGTAATTATTATCAATAGAAATTTTATTTTTAAATGAACATATTTATCATTTGTAAAATTAAAGCATTAACCATATTTGTAATTTCGTTTGTATAAACAATTGCATACATAAAAAATAATTTAATTATACATATATAAATCATAGCTGCAGGATAAAATAACAAGTTGATATTTTAAAATTCTTGTTTTTTTTTTAAATTTTTCAAACTAGTTTTGTCGTCATATGTAGATTATTTCATTACTTTACTAAGAAAATTACTAAATATTTCGTAATTAATGTCTTTGAAGAAAATAAGTAATTTAATACAAATCAAATTTGTATTTACATAAAAATTAGTATACAGTGGAACCTCGCTTAACGAGTATAATGCGTTCCAAAATTTTCGGATTTTTACTCGTTTAGTGAAACATATTCAAAAATACACATAATACGTGTACATAAGTTTTAAAAATGATTTAGCGAAATCCGGGACTTCTCATCTAGTCGTTACTCGTTAAGCGAATCATTTTTCTTTCATTGAATTTTGCTCGTTAAGCGAAATGTTCGTTATGATAAGCAAGGTTCCACTGTATTTAGTAAATTTCATAATTATTTTATTTGAAGAATCGATATTTTTTTTGTTTGTTGATACAATAAGAATATTATTGCATATGTTTAGAAATTTCTGTTTAATTAGTAAAGTTTCCATTTATTATAACTGGAATAACGTAAAATTCATGATTATTTTCGCGATAAAACAAGAATTTTAGATTTTCCAATTTTCCAAGGAAATTTAAGGAAACAATTTTATTGACAATTATAAATTAGCATATTTATAACTTATAAAGAAAAATTGCTAATTATTATTAAAGTAAATCGTATCTGCGTGACTAAAGAACAATTTACGATTTTCCAACTTTTCAGGAAATTCCCATTTTATTAGCATAATTTAGAAAGTAAAATAATTAATGATCTTGAACTTGTTTTCATGAAATACATCAATCATATTATTTGATGAATAATCGTACTTTTTCCAAGGTTCCATTAAAAATAATCTCAAACCATTAATATTACTAAGATCTATTAGTGAGCTGTAATCATAGTAGATTCATTAATAAATATTTTTATTGTTACAAATTACTATAAAGATTTTTTCTTTAATCACGTGAAATACTTTAATTGATATATTAATAAAATAATTAATTAATTAAAAAAATAAAATATTAAATAAAAATTGTTTAATAGAAAAATTCAATTTTTAGGAGCACTTTACTTTATTTTTCAGTTTTAAATTATTTTTTGTCACTTTCATCTTATTTTTTTAAATACTTTAATACACAAATTCTATTATTAACAATGGCACTTTACACTTAAGATTCTGCAATTAGTATTTTGATTATTACAAATTAGTATAAAAGATATCTTCATTAATCTTCTGAAATACCCAAATATATAAATTCGATTAATAAACCGAATAATATTGTTTTGTCTATAACTTGGTGATTTACCGTTTTCAGTTTTAATATCTTTCTGCTAATTTTGTCCTAGTTTATTTTCTTTTTCACGCGCAAAGTTATAAATACTCGGCGCAAGTGTTTCGGCTTTTTGGCGTCCGACACTAATGTCAAGCACATCACCTAAAAATAGGGAAGCAGACGCCGCGTGGACGCCGTTTCCATGGCTACCAGAAACGGCGTCCACGCAACGTGCTTAGCATAATACAAATATAATTATATAATAGTTACTGTTGATCATTTAATAATTACGATTATTAATTTGTCAGATTTGTAACTAAAATGATAATAATTATTTTTGTGCATTTCTTTCGTCGAAGCTGTATTTAATAATTTCTTGGTAAATCGCCAAAATTGTAAAATATAAATAGCTTTTGGTATAATCATGAAATATAATGAATTTTCAATGTGTAACTCAATATTGGATGGCAAACGGAATTACTCGCCAAAAATACTAATCCTAAATAGAAATTAAGTGATGAAGCAAAGTGCAAAGTTTGCTAAACTTGTTGCTATGAATACATATATTTTTTTTACGTGTGCATTTGTTTTGGTGTTAAATAGAAAGAGTGTACCGATATCAGAGACTTTGTGCCAATTTGGCAGAGAAGGCAATCCAGAAATAATAATGAAACGCCCTTGTGCACATGCCGCCCGCAATAATGATGTATTAATTTAGCGAATTTACATTAATTTCTGTTTTTTGCTTTGGTTTTCAGCGACGGTGAGCGCCATCTCGGATGGAATGAGCTATGGCTGGGCTTCCCCCGTCATTCCGATCCTTCAACAGGAGGATAGTCCGGTGAAGATTCAGGAATCGGACATCGTGTGGTTGGAGTCGATATACATGATCGCAGGAATAATCGGGCTTCCTATAACTATTTACACGGTGGATAAGTTTGGAAGGAAGAAGTCCATCATCCTGGCCGCCATCACGAATTTGGCGCATTGGGTCCTCCTGTCCGTATCAACGAACATTGCGATGGTGTACGTGGCGCGAGCCTTGACTGGAATCGCAGGAGACGTTGCCTTCGTCTCGGCCCCGATGTTCATAGCCGAAATAGCCGATCAGAAGATTAGAGGATTCTTGGCCTCAATCATCTACATCATGATGCTCGTCGGTATCATGGTGGTATACTCTGTGGCGCCTTTCGTCTCGTTACCAGTGTCTTCGGCAGTGGGAGCGCTGTTCCTGCTTCTGCAGCTAGCCACGTTCCCGTTCATTCCAGAGAGTCCGTATTTCCTGCTGCTGAAAGGCAAAGAGGAAAAGGCCAAAAAATCTCTGCAATTCTTCAGGGCCACTGATGATGTCGAAAAGGAACTGCAAGAAATCAAATCCGCTGTGGCCAGACAGGATTTGGAAAAAGGACGGCCACAGGATTTGATTATGGTGAAGAGCAACCGTAAAGCTTTGATCATCATGACCGTTCTGAATGCAGCACAACACTTCAGTAGTATTTCCGTGATCCTGATGAACCTGCACACCATCCTCGAAGACGCAGCCGGTATCCTGGACGCTAAAGTCGCAGCTATTATATTCTCTGTGGTGATGATAATCGCAGCGATGGTTGCTTGTGGCTTCCTCGACAAGGCCGGAAGAAAGGTTCTTCTGACTGGTTCGAGCTTATTCACCGGACTCTCTTTAGCTGCTTTGGCCACCTACTTCGCCGTCAAAAACTCCGGCGTCGATGTTACCGCGTACAATTGGGTGCCTATAGCCGCCGTCATGCTGTACGCCGTTTCCTTCAAGTTCGGTTTGGGCCTCGTCCCCATAGTTCTGACGGCCGAGCTCTTCCCCACCAGCGTCAAAGCCATGGGAATGACTGCCTCTGACGCCATGTACGTGATCTTCTCCTGCATTTCCATCTACCTCTACCAATACTTGAGCGACGCCTACGGAATGCACGTGCCCTTCTACATCTTCTCAGCCTCGTGCATCCTCACCGCCGCCTTCGCCATGTTCTACATCCCCGAAACAAAGGGAAAGACTTTGGAGGAGATCCAATTCATCCTCAAGGGACAAACATTCGGAGACGACGCTCCTCAGAAGGAGCTCAACAACGGAACGCCTCCGGATGTCCGCCCCAAGACGCCCGTCGAGGATACGAGCAAGCTATAAACAAGAAGACGCCCATCTATTTACACTTAGTTCAAAAATGGATTATCTCCGCAGTCGTGGTGATATCCGAAGCGCATATGTTTTTTAGTTTTCTTTTATTTTCATTCTTTCATTTTTTTTTCTCATTTTGAGGTCAAATTGATTGATACCAATTAATTGGTGAAGCGGGCGCAAGCAGCGCGTGTCATCAAACTTTCCCAAACGCATCTTGAAACACGCAACCACATAAAAAAATAATGATGCACAAAATGCGAAACGAAATCGTTTCTTTTTTATATATATATAAATAAATAAATCAAAGTGCTTTACTATTACTAGTTACGAGAGGTAACAAATAAAAAAAAGTATATAAATATATATATATAAATAAATCAACGGATACAATGTGTGATATTCTTTAAATATTTACAATCGTTTACACTCACTTAGATTTAGAAATATTAAGGACTTTTAGACGACGAGGACGGGGCAAAATTAATTAAAAGTCTCGTTCTTATTTTTAAACAAACAAACTAAATTAACTTAAACATATTGCGTGTCTGTGCCAAGAGGTTGCTTGATCCAAATCTCGAACTGTCATCCATTTGTTTTCTAGAAAAGCTTCAAAATGTAGATAATAGTTAAACTTAGTTAATCAACAAACAAAAAAATACTAGCCAAATTAACTAAGCAACGTTAACCTCTCCGGCACAGATATTTCTATAGGATTAGATTTTATTTTATTTCTACTTAAACTTAAACAAATTCTCTGCGCCTTAAGTATTATAAATTAACTATAATTAATTAATGATGATGTTGATGATGATAATAATGGTGTATGTGCGTGTATATTTATACATTATATTTATAGATCGTTGTTATTACTTATTGTAATATTGTTATAATGATGATGTAAGTTTTATTTTAATTTTTGTTTTTTTTTTGTTTTGCGAAAAATCAAACTCGAGTCTAGATCTTAACTTGTAATGTTAATTTTTCTTTGTATTCGTAAATTATTGGACGGACGAAAGCGGAATTCTAAAGACAACAATAAACAATTCTTAATATCATGTGAAATACAAACACATCGTTTTTATTATTTCTAGAATATATTTTAATACGAGAAGACTTGTTGATACTCTGTAATGTTATTATATAAATATAAAACGAATGAAGAAAATTTGTCTGTGTTTTTTTTAAACTTATTTCCCAATTTTCATTTGGCTTTGTTGTAATTGATGTTATTATCTCGAGTAATTTAAAAGTGAATATAATACAGTATGTTGCCTATAACAACTTTTTTTATGATATTAAGACAATTAATGTTTGAAAAATGTAATTTATTACTTAAGAGACACCAGCTAAATGTATTCCATAGGAAGGAAAAGAATATGAAATAATTTCATTGGAATAGGAAGTAGGGGTGGACCGTTTATCTGTGTGCTCTGAAATAACATTATTTGGTACCTTGTCAGGGTCGTGGGCCCTTCTAAAAGGAAAGAAGAAAAAAGGTAGTGAGACGTCGATTCGAAAATCCATTCATAACAAAAAAATCTAGAAATCCATAATCCTAATATTACTTAAGGGCCTTATACTAATAGTATTTGATTCGATCCCAGTCCTGGATTGAAGTCCATAAAAACTATGCCTGAATCCTTCACTGACAGGAAGCAATCAGAAAAAGTGTATATAATAAGTTGCCTATGTAGAAACTGTTGAAAATAATTTTCAAATATTTGTAATATAAAGACACTGAAGCAATAGTCTTCTGCATCAGAATATCCAATATGAATGTTAATAAAAAATAATTCATATCGGAAATAGGGATATAATTACTAAAAAATGTACTGAAACTTCGAAAGTTGAACGTAATCCGTTTGAAGCGCAATGTAAGTACACATGAACTTAAAGAATTTTATAATGATAACAACATTTATTGCAACAGCAATAAAATTACATAAAATAAATATAATAAATACATAAAATCCGTAGTACTGTTGTTACTGTATATGAAAGATGTGGAGATAATAAAGTAACTCAAGTTTTTCCATCGTAAATCCCATATAATCTTTTCGTGATCATAGTTTATAGATAATTTACTTTTAATTTTCTATAATCATTCGTCATATTGACTCTAGTAGATCAAATAAGAAATTTAAATACTTTTTGCAATTAAAAAAATGTTTTGTTTTCCGTCTCAACGTTGTGTTATCTAATTTTTTTTTGATAAATGAGTTTAATAATTTATCTATTTAATAATTTCAATTATATTTTTGCAATTTACTTTACTAATTATTTATGCAATCGATTTGAAAATGTATGTATAATAAGTTGCCTATCAGGAATATAGATTTATGGACTATCTATTATTTACATAAACATATTATTGATACCGTATATTTTTCTAATGACTTGACAAATTGACAGATCCAACTTTAGCCTGAAAAATATTTCGGTTATTACAAAATTGTATAATAAATTGTGTAATTTTATTGTAACATGAAATAACTTGAATCTTCCTATATAATAAGTTACCTTAGGTTCCATTAAATAAAGTAAAACGTGTTTAGAAAAACAACTAAAAATGTAATATGAAAAGTGAGTATAATAAGTTGCCTATAGAAAAAATAGAATTTCTCCAACTTCACCTAATTATCTACAATTATCTAAAAAAAATACTTGTCACGAATACCTACGAGAAAATAAATATAATTTAAATACAGTTTTTTCAATATTTATTGTTTTTGGAAAAATTTAAATTTAAATTTTTTTAGTACACAATTTAATTACAAAACTTTCAAATCCATTCAAATGGATGGATGGATTTTTTTTTCTTAATAACTCAAAAATTATAAAAATATAATATTTGATTATTGCGCAAGAAGTTCTCCACCGTTATGCAATTTATTGTGTACGTAATGTTTAACTATGTAACCGAGAAATGATGATATCACATTTTGTTGAAGTACTCAAACAACCTACTCAAATTAAAGATGAAAGTCTCTGCTTTTCAACTGTCATGTTTATGTTTACATCGGTTTGTCAGCTACGAGTTGTCAAAAATGTCAGTGCTGAAAATGCACCGTTTTCACGTTTTATTTAATTACACGCAAGCGAATTATATGATTGAACAAAAATCGTAAAATTTTGATTTATATAGATCCTGATAATTACTGAAATTTTGATAAAAACGCGAATTAATAAACATTTTTATTTTCCATTAATAACTCGAAAAGTAAGGCACATTTTTCTTAATAACTCATAAGTTATAATTTTGTATAACTTAATGTTTTATCAAATTACTGTTATTGCACATGCTAATTAGTTTAACTTAGTTGCAGTCAACTTATAAATAAATGTTTCATATTTCCAATGAGTCTACTGGCATGTTTGTCTTGTCTTCACGAGAAAAAATGTTAAAATGCATCATCTTCACGTTTAATTTAAAATAATTACAGAATAACCATGCAAGCGAATTACATAGTTCATTAAAAATTAATTAAAAAAAATTCAATGTTTTATATTGTTTATTTCTATAGCTTTATAGTAAATCGATAGTAATTTCAATAAACTGTGAAGAAATTTGTATTAAAAATAAAAAATATTATATTTAATTCTTAATACTGTGCATTGCATTGCATTGGTATCATATTTGTTTTTATTTTAAGTTCCTATAGTTTATTATGTAACAAAATAATATTAATATTTTTTTGGCCAGACATCAATACAAAAAAAAGTACATTCTGTAAATAAATAAAAGATAATAATGAAAACTAAATAATATTAACAACTCTCAAAATAAATAAATTCTAACTTTAATTTAAAAAAAATATAATAATAGGCTGGCCAAAGCGCTATCGATTGAGGTCTTTCCGCCCGGGAACATAATTTAATTGTGGAACAATAATAGTATATACATATGAAAACTAGAAGAATGAGGGAAAACAGCGGAATAGGAACAAGAGGGTATCAATCGAGGACATTAGGCATTGGAATAGGGATAATGTGGGATATTTATATTTGGGATGGATATTTGGGTTTCGAGGGGCGCAGAATTTAGAGAGGGAGACGATGTTGGACTGTTTGGATTTAAATTTCAAGGAAAGGGAAAGGTATCGGTCGAGGTGATCATTAGTAGGATTGTGTAGAGGATTATTATTAGGATGTCGTATTTTGGTGAGGATACGAAGGGCGGAACGTTAGAATACGGACAGGTTTTTTAGGACAGGATTTCGACATTGGGAAACCTTTGTCAAGGATAGGACTGCACATTGATTTGTATATGAATGTTTGGCACTTTATGGATATATCGGAGTTACGGAAGGTTAAGGATTTAATTTTGGATTTGAGTTGTTTGGAATGGGAATTGCGATTGAGTTTAGGATCAATAAGGATTCCAAGGTATTTAGCAAGTGGTGATGAATGATTATTTAACGTAACATGGGGAGACGATGGGGATATGCGATGTTAGGGAATAATGAGTTTGGTCTTTGATGGGTTAATTTTGAGGCGCCATTTTTTAAACCATAAAATAGTTGAGGATAGAATGTTTTGAAGGTTAAGAATAGAGGATTGAAGGGAAGAGGCGTTGGAAATCAATGTAGTGTCATCAGCGTATTGGAGAACATAGAGGTTGGGATCGAAGATATTAGGATCGGGGCTATACCTAGAGGGGAGCCTTGCGGGACACCCTGAAGCGGGGGAAAGGGGAACGATTATTAAGGAAGTTTTTGATGATGCTGATGAGGTAAGGCCAGACGGAGTCTATATAAGAAATTATAGTGAATAAAATAAATTTGTAAAAAAATAAAACATGTTTTTTCTAGTTAACCAATTAAACTTATGTGACCAAATAGGTTTAGACTTTAGCCAATTATTATTAAAAATATTATAAATAATCTTTTTTTTATTGCATTTTCCTAGTTTGTACTTGGTTGTACTCTACCGCTTTCAAATATGACCTTCAGCCATAACTTATAGATTAAAAATAATACTTCTAATTCTTAGTATTATAAAATTTGTCCCTCAACTACAGTGAATCTATGATGTACAGATTAATTGAAACAAGACAAAAAGTTTAGGAAAACATTTTTATTTGTCAGTGTTTTTAAAAATTAGAACTAATACTTTATATGACCTCATTTGGCATCAAACAAAGATTTTACCATTCTTGGTGTCGATTTAATGAAATTGTTTCCAAAGTTAAAAATGCAAAAAAAAACTTTTGTTTCAATTAATTTGTTCGATACTTTAAGTTTTAGGCAACCGACTTTGCAGCGCTCCTTTAATACATTTCAACGATTACAAGTTGCGTGTAATGTATGTATATGGATCAGACAATAACGATTTTAAATGCGGTGTTGCTCTTTTTTATTCGCCGCTTTCAAAAGATGATCATCAACACGAGCAGAATTAAAGTTCTCTCATTGTGCAACTAAAATGTGTCTATATTTCGTTGCTGTGCAGAGAGTTGTAAAACGTTAATTACATACGAGATAGACGTCTAATCTGAAACTTTGGCTCCGAATAATAATCGCTCGGATTACGCTCCACGTTTTAATGCTACTTTAGGCGCACATCACCGCGAAACCATCTTTGTGTTTGTTGTAGGTATGTTTTGTTGCGTTTTGTTTTTTAACGTAGGTAAAAATCTATGTAAACTCTGAGCGAGATTAAGAGAGTAGAGAAGGCGCGAGCAAACATTGACGATGGACTTTTCTATCCCGGAGTCTGGATACTTGCACGCATACAGAAAAAAAAGCAGCGTACAAAAAGTTTCAAAAAAGAGCCTTGAAAAGAAGTAACACATATACTGAACATACTCGCACACATACGCGAACACTTAAATACGTATACACGCATACAGTCAGGACATTCGGCGCGGCTGATCCGTTTCAGCTTGCCTCGAATGAAAAAGCGGGCGTCTTTAGTAGTAGCACCACAACTTCGACTCTGGATTGGTTCGACTACTCGAGTTATGGATCAAACTATTTTCATCTGAGCCGTTTTTTTAATACAAGATTTGAACTATGCAGGATCAAGTTTATAATTTCGCCTGGACCACCCAGATAATAGCGGCGTTCGCAGGTTTGTTTATTTTTTTTTAAATTGTTATAAATTCTTCATTACAGTTAAATAAGCATTAATTATTTAATCAGCCTACTTACATAATTACGAAGAAGGCAATGCGCTCGGCTTTTATTTACCCACTTGACGCGATAATCGGCTTGCTCGAATTCCCATCTGGGAAATGTAAAAAGGCAACAGTTTTAATTCAGTTTCTCCCTTCGGTTGCTCTCTCCGAGACAAACTTGAATTGAGGAAGAATTGTTTTTTTGCGTAATCGTCGAGTCAAAACATTTATTCATTTGAATTCTGGCATCTAAATAAAAATTGCGTTTTTTTTTTATTGCTTTACGTAATCTCGAGTTACAATGTATGCGGGCGTGAAATTTGCGGATAATCAAGAAATCACCGTAGCAACGAGAACGATCGTAGTCAAAATAATAGCACGCGCCATTACTTAACTTAATTGCTTGTTTTGTTTCTTCGATGACGATTAATTCTGGCAATTAGTTTTGATTTTGCTAATATCAATTTATCGACGACGTCGTCGTTCTTATCTGAGAATCATTTGACCCCAGACGCGTGAAGAAAACAGACAAAAATTCTTCTCTTAACTGACGCAATTTTCTGTACAATCATTCAAGTGCGTTTTGTTTTTGTACTTGTTTGCAAAATTTGCAATTATGTTACATTCCAGTATAATGATGAAATTGATTCATTGATTTCTTGATAAAGAAACGCACATACAGATAATCATAATAAATCTGAAAGTTCTTGCTCATTAAAAATAATAAAGAAACTGAAGACAAAAATTAATAACGAAAAAATCACTGACCAAGCAATAGAAGTAATTAAATACATTAAGTGATTTGTTTATAAACAAACGATTATCCATAATATTACTATAAATCAGAAAATTAAAAAATATTATTTATCAAAGAAAGAATAAATTTGAATTTATTTCGAAGTATTGACATTTATAATACAAAATTTAGAAAAAGGAATTAAATGTAATAACTCTTACCAGTGGCGTAGCAAAAAGCACATGACTATAAATAAAATCGCGGGAAATTTAAATCTCATTCATTTACATATTTTTAACGGGAGGTCCGCTACTACCTAGGAAAAAACATGTGAAGATAATACACCTCAAGTATGATTTACAAACCAAACAAGATACATATTTTTATTGGTTCTATTAGTTTGGACTAAACGATTAAAGTTTATCTGTATTTTATAATGTTTTTTCCTAATAGTAAGTAAATAAACTAAATTGTATAGCATATATAAAATAATTAAAATCAAAAATAGATTATTAAAAATAGAAATAATTAAGTAAATTATAATCAACGTAAATGAAAATTAACTTACTTGTTTCATTTATTATTTACCTAAATAGGAGCATTCTGGATAGGAGAGGCAGATAATTATGTTTTATAAATAATTAATTGAAAATTGTTTACAAAATAACATTATTTTAAGTCTTATTAATAATAATAATTTATTGGCCAAACATCAATACATAAGAAGAAGAAAAAAAAGTACAATTTATACATTAATAAATTTTAACATACAAAGGGCTAACGACCGAGGTCTTTCCGCCAATATGTCTTATTATGTAGGGAATTTAAATTTTGTAAAGATTGTAAAAAACGCAAAGAATTTTTTTATAAATTCACTGGGAGTTCCAATCGGGACTTTTCTATATAACGCGATATGACTATAACTAGGTTCGAGGGCAATTTGTATTAGAATTCAAGTCAATTATTCATGACATTGACTGACATTTCTAAAAATAAACATTAAAAAATAAAGACATATATAAATATTAGCACACATAAAACTAATCATTCTAAGTAAACAATAAGAAAAGAAACAAACATCTTTAGACGCAGATTAACGCATAAAAGTTTTAATGATGACATTGATTCATTGATTAATTGATTTCTCGACAAACAAACTCATAACAAGCTTCTCAGTTATACAAGAAATAACCGAATAAGAATTACATATTTATTAAAAAAAGTGAAATAAAAACACAGATGAATAACAAAATAAAGATAAGAAATAACTCTTATAAAATGGAAGGAAGGAATTAGTATAATGAAGTTCTTTTAGGAAGAAGTATAATGTTTCTTATGAAATATTCAGTTAATAAAAAATAACGAAATTTTAATATATAATCATATTTTTACCAGAAAGTAATATGAGACAACATAATTTTTCAGAGATACAAGCCTGGGAATAGTAACAGAATAACCTGTAAATAAATACCCTTTCTATATAGGTTAATTTAAGAAATAAATGCAATTGTTTTCCAAAGTATCAGTTTTTATTGCGTATTTTGTGTACAGTCATTTTACTTTTACTGTTGTTTTTCTACGAATTTTGCTTATTATTAACCCTTTGCGGACGAAGATTTGTCAACGTTTGCATTTTCAACTGATTTTAGTAAAAATTCTGTGTATTATTATGTTGTGGCGTATTTTTGTAACACAAGTGCCGCTTTTACTGAAATAAAGTAAAAGCTATTACGGTTTCATCTGAACGAAACCAGATATTCGATTGCAGCGCCACTACATTTGCCCTAGATGAAATTTAAAGGTAAGCGAAGTCTCCTGCGTACATAGAGGGCGAATATATCCGCCCATCATGAATTATTTTTTTTAAACTGCGTCTTTAATTAATATAAGTTATAAAATAATTTCTTAGATTAATCTCCCAATTATGCTAAAATCTACTAGTAATTAAAATACAAACAGTAAAATAAAATACAAACAATACAAGGTGTAAACTTGTAAACCGCCGTTTCTCAAACTTTTAGCTAAGAGTATTTCATCACTTTTTCGCTTTGACATGAGATGACAGCTATCATTTTGTGAACAATTAAAATTTTAAAGACACTCATTTTGGGTCGTCACTGAGTCACTACTATTGCCATTGTGTATATTTAATTAAATCTATGTAATAAATTCAATAATATATTGGATTGTCCGGAAAGTTTGTTCCAATAAACAATAGACTTTTGTATATATACTTTATAAAAAAGTTTGGTTCGGATCATATTAATTTTGTCAGTTACCCAGTACCCTCTTGATGCTTTAAGGAAACAAAGTGCAATTTATGCTTTAAATATAATAGAGTGCGCTGGATAAATAGTATGGTTATTAGATATGCTAACATGGGTGGCGAGGGGGATAATTTTTAAATTTATAAAAATTAAATAAGTTTCAAAATATAAAGTTTAAAAATATACATATATTAAATAATGTACAAATATTTATGACAAAAATAAAAACAAACATCTGTTTACGATATTTTATTAATAGATATAATTATTTTAATATTCAAACATCATAATTGATAAATGTACGATATTTAATTGCTATAATTTCAAGTTTTTTTTGTCTTTATACACGATCTACAGTCTCATCATTAAAATTTAGGACACATGTGTTTTTCATTAAGTTTTCATAAAACTATTTACATGATAATTATTGTATATTGCTCAACTTAGTTGGTTTATATGCACAGTATTTTCATGTCTATCCTCCAGTTAGATCATTTTTAAGCTGTAATCGTGTTAAAACAAATATTTTGAAGAATTCGTTAATATATAAAGTATACCTACTTTAGTAAGATTAATAGCAATTAAATCGTAATTGGATATTATTGAAGGTTATTTTTTTTATAGAAAAGAGCAATATGAATATTATCTGGAAGATAAATTACCTTTTCTTTAGATAATAGTTGTTTCTTAATATTATTACTATATGAATTTTCTTTGGAGACATCTGCATTTTAAATTAATTGTTTTATTGATTTTATTCTCTAAATTTTCTGAAATATTACATTCTTTATCACAATTTATTTATCAATGATCTCGTTGTAAACTGGGAGATTGCAGAAAAGAAAACAGAGAAAGAGAGAAATGGACTATGTAATTCTTAGTTTGACTTTCGATTTCCTAAATCGAGTTACTTTATTCGAGTTTCACTTTGATCGAACATCAAACAGTTCGAGGGTCCACTGTATTAGCATAAGTTGTCGTGTATTTGGGCTGATCTATATTTTCTTTGACTTCTTTAGCGACGATAAATTCCGTTTCGGATGGGATCCACTACGGCTGGGCATCGCCTGTCATCCCGATATTAACATCCGGGGATTCCCCCATTTCCATAACGGAAACGGACGTGCAATGGCTGGAACTGCTGTACATGATCGGCGGAATCGCGGGTTTGCCTTTAACGATGTTTGCGGTCGACAAATTCGGAAGGAAAAAATCCATCCTCCTCGCTTCAGCTAACAATCTGCTTTCCTGGATTCTCATAGCCGTCGCCAACAATGTGACCACCTTACACGTGGCCAGATTCCTTTCTGGTCTTGGAGCGGACGTAGCTTTCGTTGCCAGTACGTATTTACCATCAATTGAAATCTTGAATTTAACACTTGCATTTGTAGTTCCCATGTACATAGCTGAGATTGCGGATCAAAAAATTCGAGGACTTCTTGTGGCTTTCATCTATATCATGTTACTAATTGGAATTGTTATCTGCTATTCGGTGGCTCCTTTCGTCTCGATCCTTGCGTCGTCTTCAGTGGGCGCTGCGTTCGTTATTGCTCAATTGATAACTTTACCTTTCATGCCGGAGACGCCCTACTACAACTTGCTGAAAGGCAAAGAGGAAGCGGCTGAAAAGTCGCTGAAATGGCTGCGAAGGCGAAGCGACGTTAAAGAAGAACTGGAGGAGATCAAAGCCGCCGTGGCGAGACAATCGTCGGAGCGGGGGAAGTTCAAAGACATCTTCATAGTGCCCAGTAATCGCAAAGCTCTTATTATCATGACCGTGCTGAATGCATCACAGCATCTCAGCAGTATAAGTGTTATGCTGATGAACCTGCACACCATTCTCGAAGATGCCGAAGGAATCATAGAGAAGAACACCTCAGCCATAATTTTCGCAGTTATCATGCTCATAGCTACTGTTTGCGCGGCAGGAATTGTGGATAAATGCGGAAGGAAACTACTATTAGTCTCCTCCAGTCTTATTTCCTCCGTAGCTTTGGGATCTCTAGCAGTTTACTTAACGTACAAGCATTTTGGCTACGACGTTCTTCCGTACAATTGGGTTCCCATTGCTGCAGTCTTCATTTACGCAGCTTCCTTCAGGATGGGTTTAGGATCCGTGCCGATCGTCCTCACCGGAGAACTCTTCCCCACGAGTGTCAAAGCTAAAGGCATGACTCTCTCCGATTTCACATACGTCTTCTTCGGAACTATCACCATCTACCTCTTCCAAATTTTGGAAAAGAGCATCGGCATCTACGTAGCCTTCTACATTTTCAGTATTTCCTGCATCCTTGCTGCCCTTTTCACAGTCTTCTTCGTCCCAGAAACCAAAGGAAAAACGCTAGAACAAATCCAGTTAATCCTCAAGGGACAACCGGATGTAGTTGACCAAAATGTTACCAATCCGCAAAATATTACACATATTTAAAATAAATCCAGTTTTATCCCATTCACCTTCATTTAAATTTCGTAGAAATAAAATTAAATAATTGTTATATTAACAAATAAAAATTGATATAAAATTGATTAAATTATATTCTCAATCTGATATTAAATTTTCATTAAAAAAATCAACAATTGTTGAATTAACAGAAACTAAATTAAAATTGAATTCTATATTTGTGTGTTATACTCTAATCCAGTGATTCTCAAAGTGTAGTACGCGTGGCACGAGGTACAGTTAATTTTGCAAATATGCAAATCCCCCACATATGTATGAATAATATTAACAATTAATAATAGAAAACGGGCATAAAGACCTATGGTCAATAGCCATTTGAAGCAGTTGCTTTTTTGATTTATGATATTTATATTATTGTATTGATTTTTTTTTATTTTGTAATTTTACTGTTTCAATAAATATTATTATTATTAATAGACAACAAATATTTAAAATAAAGATGTAATTAGAGATTTTGAGAATTTAAAATTGAACAGGAAAAAAATATTTTCTTCATTTTAATTTTTCTTTCCGTGTTGAAAAACCAAAGTAGATAGTCCATAAGTCAGAAGAATTAGTTTTAAATTTTTAGTTTTTCATTCAAAATTATGGATCGCTGGTTGAATTAAATTTTGCCATTTTTAGATAAACCACAATAAGTATAAAGATAAACCAAACGTAATTATTTAAAACAGTCTTGAATAGTAATGCGGAGTTTGATTCCCAAATGCAATGCAGCGGAGAAGATTGACAAAACTTTAATCAAGTCTGGCAGATGTAACATAACTAACTTTTAACTACGTTCCCCTCTTAAAAAAATACAACAGGAGAAGATATCTTATGTTATGAATATATTTACGTAAGAAAACAAAATTGATTAGAATATGTGTTGAATAAGCACAGATGGAGCAAAAAGTATGGTCGAAATTGATAAAGACTTGTTGCAAGAATTCAGAATATTGCCCCAAATATCATACGCTGTTGCATATACAAAGAGACTTTGGCAACACGTAAGATGCCCGCTGATCTACAGAAAGCTCTGGATTTAAGCGTGAAAATGATATTAAAGGCAATACTTTCAAAGCACGACTTTTTTCGCTAATGTGTGAAGAAATGGGAAGTAGTCATACTCAGCTTCTTTTTCATAAAGAAGTTCGTTGGTTATCTCCAGAGAAAATTCTAAACCGATTATTTTAATTTAGACATGAACTTCAAATTTTTCTTAATGGTTGATTTGAACTGAGAAACTGTTTACATGATTGGAAATGGCTCTTTAAATTGGCATACATAGCAGGTATATGCTATGTTTTAAATTATCTCAAATTATCCTTGCAATGCCAAGAAATTAAATTTTGTGGCAAAAGAGAGAGTATAACAAGTTTGGCTGCTAAAATTGATCCTGATATTCTGAAATGTATAATACCGCATTTAGAGAATTTACAATTGGACGTTCAAAGTGAAAGTCCTGAAATACATCTTGTCTTTTCAAAATTCGTATCTGAAGTTGCTTTTTCAGCATTTGTAGACATTAACAATCAGGGAACCAAATTATGATAATTTGTCGTCCAATTTTTTATATTTTATTATGAATAAATTTTATTTTTTATTAATTATTATTTAGTTTATCTACTAAAAGTGTAAAAAATAAATATATTTTGATTATTATTAAAGAATTTGTTTTTTTTTACGAGGGGCTCAGACTCAGTCTTACGAAAATGATAGAAGGGGGTACACAGATTCTCAAACACTGCTTTAATCAATTAAAGACGTGAATTAAGCAAGATCATATTTTTAATAGAATATTCAATTTTATTTTTCTAAGGACGTGTCTTAAAAGTATTCTAATCTCGTATTTTAGTAATATTTTTATCAGTTGCTCGTAGTTTTTGTTCATTTTTGCTTATATTCTGCTTTTTTTGGTCGACCTCGTTTTCTATCCCTCTATGATCACATGCGAGAATATTTTTTGGATATAAATAGCGAATTCGCTAGACCTCCAGCATTCAGTTGATCGCTACACACTAAATCAGCGTTTGTTCTGTTAAATTTGTATTGGGTCGCAAAATGATAGCTGTTACCTTGCTGTGAATGAGTTAGAAAAGTGATGTAATAAATATTTTTGTCGCAGCAAAACTACAAACCAAAAATGTTGGTTTTATTATTATATTAAAGTCTATTATGTACTTGAAAAAATTTTCAACAAAAAAACTGTTGAAGTTGCTAAGAAGCTGAAAACGAATAAATGATTTAATGAACTAAATGTATTTGATATAAATAAGAAAACATATATTGCAAGGAAGACAATAATCAAATTGTTTTGTTTGTCGAAACGTTGATGGAACTTGTCAAAGAAAAATTGCTTGTATCCTTTATTTTTTTAGACATCGTACATCGCCCCGATCACCGCTGCTGTTAGTATTTCTATGTGCGTATCCCAAATAATTTTATCGTTCATCGTTATCACCAGATATTTAGTGTGTTCGCTTTATTTTTTTGGCTTATAGATAGTTACCTTTGCTTTCGTTAATCGTCAATAAGTTCTGCACGTACCAATTTATTCAGATCTTCATTCATTTTGGTCTGAAGTTATAATAAGATTGCTTAACTCAGTCAAACAAAGTTTGAAGAATCAGTGATATACAGCGTTGTGTAGGGTGTTCTGTCACCCCCTCAAGAGATACGAACCGATGACGGTGAGGTACACTCAATTGCTGGGAAATGTTTGTTTTTGTAGAAGTCTCCGGCAAGAGACTGTGCATTCAGTTATTATGCAAATTTTGAATGTTAGCTGGCAAGTCACTTTCGGAATAATCCTTTTGTAAAATCCGTGTTCGATTGCAGTTAAGGTGCTGGCTGTCTTAGCCATCCGCAATGGCTTTTCATGAGCACAAAACACTACAAGAAGCCAGTTTTTGCTGGTATTAAATTTGGACCACATCTTGGACATATGATTTATTGTCGTTACCTCGCGGGCACATATAAGTTTTCACAATGGCAGTATGTGTGTTTCTGAGGTTGATTTTCCATATACGATTTGCGGAGTTTTGAAAGTATTCGTCTAATTGTTCACATTTTATGTTTATTTTGCCCCATAGGCAGTGACAGATTAAGCACTTGAGAGGCCCCAGTCACAACTTAATTGTGAGGGTTAAAAATTATTGACCAAATGTATCAGTATCCTTCTTATCACTGACATTCATATTACGCTTCTTATCATTCTTCGTAAGTTGAAACAGATACTCACCAAAACATTCTTCCATAATATTTTCATACATATCACCACTCATCGTATTATCCTTCTTATCACTGACACTCAGTATCATGCTATTTATTAGTATAATCTTTAACATAGTTGGGTTTCTAGTTTTTTGTGAAAACTTACAGCGGTTATCATTAGAGCAAGTACAAACATTGGTCTATATCAGGGATAACTGTATGTTAATAGTAGTTTTTCTTCGATTTTCGCGGCACCCATGTAGAATAGTCACGGCATGGATTCCTGGGATCCGTGCCGTACAATTTGGAACCCCTGAGTTTATTAACAGTTTGTGATCGACCTTTTTAATGACGATAGACGTGTTGGCGGTGATATAGATTATTTACTTTACAAACAAACATGTCAACGAAATTAAACAAATATAAAGTCCACCTGGATGAGGATTGTAGGTTTCTCTATCAAATGATGATAAATCATGAGAAATTTGAATGTATTTTATTTACATATTATTAGTTCGGGGCCTCAACTAATAAATCTTGTGCTTGTGTCCAAATATCTAAGTTGCGTTCCTGCTTCAAGAAATCATATATTTGCGTCCAACTTTCTTTGGGTATATAATATTCCTGGTATCATTATTCTGACAGATGCAGTTTACAGTGAAAATTGCATTTCTCATATCACCGGTCGTAACAGAATTGGACTGCCCGTCGTCCGAGGAGTCTTCATCCATCATTCTCTTAGTATTCTTAACTAGTTCCTGTTATTTTTAGAACAGATTATATTATAAGTTTAAGGCTATGCACCACTCAGAATCAGAGTGACGAACCGAAATTAATTTCGCTTCGGTTTACGGTTTCGTTTCAAGTAAATGTTTTTCGTTCCAATTTCGGTTCGTCTAAAAATTCCGTATCAGTTTCGATTCTGTTACGATTCAACTTCGGTTAAAATTAAAATTAAATTTTGGTTTAATTTTATTTAGCAAATTCCCTTCTTACATCCTTTTTCAATTATAAAATGGAAAATACAAGAGAAATAAAACTAATTCAGGGAATAATTTTAAGAAATTAGTGTTATTTGGTTCTCAAGCAGGATTGCAGTTCGAAATTTAGTACGACCAAGACGAATGAACTGAATTATTCTTGCAAAGTCAGTTCTTTTTTTTAAGTACATTTCAAGATCTAATTTTCAGTCTGTTCTGGTATTGGGCACTAAACTTATGGATTTCACTCTTTACAGTGTTCATGTTAAGGTCGTTGTTTATGGTATCATTCGGCCAGGTACCAGGAGGTTTAACCAGGGTGGGCATGTGGACTGGAAGCGTTGTAAAATATGAATATTGGAATTGCTGGCTATTCTTCATAACTCAATGCCGATGTACGACCACACTGGTTTCAACACTATCTTCTAAATTAAAAGTTTATTCTCTAGGGATAGTTGAGAACTGAAGCCCAGTTGCTTACGTATTGTACATGGTTTACTTGGGAAAAGTTACATGGCTCCTGTCCATACATTGCGTTTCAGACATTCAACAGCGTGTCGATTTTCTCGAATTAATGATTAATATCTTTAGTCGGTTATTTTAAATTATTGATGAATTAATTACAAAAATTTTTGATTCATTTTTCAATTAATCATTAATTTTGTAGTTAAAAGAAATAATTCAATAAATATTCAACTACCATTGTTAGGTAATTTTTATTACTTCAATATCATATAATTAATGTATATATTTTGATGTATATATAATAGCTGAAATATTCATTTTTTCCTCCTCTTTCAACTTCCTTTTATTTTCCATCTGCAATTTGTTCCATTTG